CTGACACATCCTGGCCGACTACCAATCCGATCATGCACAGAGCCTTGCCGCCGTGGTTCTACCAGGCTATATCTACACGTCGACCGACGCGGGCGTCTCCTGGACGGAGCGATTAGACAATAAATCACGCAACTGGCGGTCGATCGCGTCTTCGTCTGATGGCACGGTACGTCTTTGGATGCAGGCCATGACGCAAAATGCACGATACCGCTGTCCTCGATGGTGGCCCCATTGTGTGTGCATGTTTCGTGAAGGGTCGCCATGCGATGCTCGATCTAACGCATCCTGGCCGACTACCTATCTCATCATGCACAGAACCTTGCCGCCGTGGAAGGCTCTTTTTTGGGAGGCTCCATCTATACGTCGACGGACGCGGGCGCCACCTGGACGGTGCAAACCTCCGCTCCTTCTCGTAATTGGCAAGCGATTGCGTCTTCGTCGGATGGCACGGTACGTGTTTGGATGCAGCCCATGACGCAAGGTGTGCACGATGCCCCTGTGCTCGATGGTGGTTGCATGGTGTGTGCATATCTGGTGAAGGGTCGCCATGCGATGCTCTATCTCACGCATCCTGGTCGACTATCCATCCCATCATACACAGAACCTTGCTGTCGTGGCCTTTGAAGGCTCTATCTACACGTCGACCGACGCGGGCGCCACCTGGACGGAGCAAACGGACGCTGGTTCTCGTAACTGGTTCTCGATCGCGTCCTCGTCAGATGGCACGGTACGTGTTTGGATGCAGGCCATTACGCAAGGAGTGCACGATGCTCCTGTCCTCGATGGTGGTCCCATCGTGTGTGCATGTCTGGTGAAACGTCGCCATGCGATTCTCGATGTGACACCTCCTGGCCGACTTCCCATCTCATCATGCACAGAACCTTGCCGCCGTGGTTAATGGAGGCTCCATCTATACGTCGACGGACGCGGGCGCCACCTGGACGGAGCAAACGGACGCTGGTTCCAGTAGTTGGCAGGCCATCGCCTCCTCGTCGGATGGCATGGTACGTGTGTGGATGCAAGCCATTACACAATATGCACCAAGCCCCTGTCTTCGATGGTGGCCCCATCGTGTGTGCAAGTCTGGTGAAGGGTCGCCATGCGATGCTCAATCTGACGCATCCCGGTCGACTATCCATCCCATCATGCACAGAACCTTGCCGCCGTGCAGACCTCAGATCAGGGAGGCTCCA